TATATTTAACAAGTTGCAATCAGAGTCCTGGTCTGAATTTTATATTTGCTGTTAAGAAAAACACAGCTCTTATTTTGTATTGTAAATTGATTTGTACTCCCTTAAGAAGTTTGCTATTCATTTATATTAACTAACGTAATGCTTTAAGTTCTAGTCATTTGATGCATATGTTTACACGTTTTAGTTTTTTACTCACAATAGTGTGTCATAATACATATTATACACTAACAATTTATTTTCATTTTTTAAACAATACATTTCCATGTCCCTAGTAGTACAGTTTTAACAAATATTGTAATATTTTAGTTACATAAGAAATGATAATATTTTTACATTTTTAATTTAATATGAATTATTATTACAAATTACTATCTAACCAGATTGTGTTTAAATACTTTTATAATACTCCTTTTAATATTTGTTCCAAAATTATAAAATCTCCTTTTCATAATTTATGTTCTTTTTTTTACTATTCAACTTTTTTTAGGAAAAACCGATTATCCACCTCTGTCTGACGAGTATCTACAAAGAAAATATATAAATTATAGCAAAAAGTAATTTAAATATTTTATAATAGTATACATTTCTTACACATATTTAGACACCTTCAAAAAGAGTGGGTCTTCCAATTGACATTTCTTGGGACACATTTTATCTAGTTTGTAATTTTTAGTGTTCATAAAAATACTGTCGTGATCCGATATCTCTACTGTCCACCCTTCCTACTGTCTTAGATATTAAACTTCAATAACTTTGAGAGATTGGGTTATATTTTTTTTAAATTTATTAAATTTGTCCCAACTAATAACAGCTATAAAAGTATAAGAAAAACATAACTAAAAAAAGTACATTATATTCTAAGTTATTGATTGGGTTAGGTCGGGATTACGTTAGGTTAGGTATACTAGCATAACTGTTGATATTTCTTGACATTTATACAGTTTTAACTGAAAACTAAACAGTCATTTAAAATTTGTGAATACTAAGTGTGATGATATTTTAATTCTACAAAAATATTTTGTCTTAGAATTTTATCATTTTTATTTAATAATACAGTGTGATTCATTAAGGATAAGACACGTGTTTTTCACTTAAAATAATTGCAATTTTTGTAGTTTTTCTTTTTGGACACACTCAAGTCAATGTTACTTTACAATATTAAACGACATTAAATTTTTTACCAAAGCTCTGTCGACTTAAATGGTAAAGTATATTATATTTAAGACGTTATCCTAATTATACGTGTAAGCATGCTCTACAATGGTTAAACTGTGCTTTGCAACTCAATTGGGCTAATATGTGACCAGTTGTAACTTTTGACAACACTCTTGTTCAAACATTCGACTAAATTAGAATAAAAAAAAAAACTAAGGGCGAATTATAAAAATGTATTAACTGCAAAACCGGTCTAGTAAGAGTGATCTATAATTTTTGATGCACGGTATACTATATTTTCCAATATTTTGAACATTTTTATCACCTATCCTTATAAGCCAAAAAGGGGTGTTTTCGTTTTTTTTATAATTCATAAACCGTTCTCCGTTATGCGGGTTCGACGATTCCACGTGAATTGGTTCACACAAGCGTTAGTAATAATAACGGTTCACAGACAAGTCGAATGGACGTGGTAGGAGTTGTTCAAGTTGTGTTAACCCGGTCGCTTTGGAAAGCTGATAGAGATCCGAACGAAAACGGCGGCCGGTGGGGTAGACCTCTATAGGGTGAAGCACAACACAGTATCAAAGGGTCACTATAGGGTGGGCGCAAACATGTGTAGCACGTGTCGAGTGGACCGGCGTCGAGGGATGAACTTTTTCAACAAGAGTTTTTTATGTGCATGCAACCCAGACAGCCAGACGACCAGGCGTCCCACCCACCGGTCACGGCGCATGATGTATCCGTGCAGAATCATAATATTATATTGTGCAGGTAAGCGTTTGTGCAATGACGGTCGAACTGCACCTCGGGACATTCGGGGTAGCCTTTTTTATTTTATTTTAATAAAAATTACCTTATTGATCCCGTTTCACGTATACAGGGTGATCCAATTAACGTGAGACACTCATTTTCTCTGAAAACACGAATATTGTGAGCATTTTTTTTTTTTTCCCTTAACTTTTAGGTACAAATTTTACTACATTGTTCAATATTTTTGTTATCACCAATCTTTATACCTAAGCCAAAAAGGGGGATTTTTGTTTTTTTTTTTTTAATGACAACATATGTTTTTAATTAGCACATACAATTCGTATTTGATGATGATGATTTATTTATTTATTATTTCCAAACAGAGTATACATAATTTACAATATATGAGTAATAAAGGACAAAGTTTGTCTCCAAAAGCCTGATGCTTGTGGACGAGACAAGAGTTCATATCTTGTGTCTTAAATTTATAAAATTTTCTGTTTTCAATATTTAGATAATTTACAAATGAGAAATAGCAGTATAATATACCAATATAATAAGAACAAATAAAAAACAAAAATAAGTAAATTGTAATAATTATAAGTAAGTTAGCGTGTTAAGCATACATTTTTCAAAATGTTGACACTCTTTAATTTATAAATGACATATTTTTTATATAACTTAAAACTATGAAAACTATTTATATCAATACACAAAGAATTACAGAGTTTCAAACCCATTTAATACGGATTGTTTTACCAAATTCACTATTACATTTAAAAATTCTAAAAACATTTTTAACAATTTTGACGTGCACTATATGCATGATTAAAATTAAAATCTTTATGGTTGGAATAATATTATAAATTACATACAATTTATTTTGCATGGAGTTGTTTTAGATTAAGTAAATTGTAGGTATTGAATATAATATTTGTATTTGTATAGTAGGGTTTTTTGAAAGCTATCCTGAGTAAGGAATTTATCGCTGTTATAAGCTTTTTTAAATGCGCATCATAAGTTCGTCCCCAAGCAGTAATTCCATAAGGGAAAACTGACTGAGCGATTGCACAATAAATCATTTTCATGGTGTTGGTCAATAAAATATTGTTTAGAGTTTTGAAAATATAGAACATACTTATAATTTTGTTATTAATAGTAGATTCAATGTGAATATCCCATTTTAAATATCGACCAACAGTCACACCAAGGTATTTTACAGAATCAACAGATTTGATATGAATACAGTTACAATTTAAAGTTTTTATTTTCATTCATTTAAGATCATGTACTTTTATATCATCATTTATTGGAAATTTTTTAATATTTGAAATCGAGAAATTATGTTATGTTCGCATTGTCCAATTGGCGATAACATTTTAACAACTAGGAAGCCACTATAAAAGATTTTGAAAGATTTTATCAAATTTTTTCAAAGCCATAACAAACGAACAAATAAATGAAAAATCAAAATTCGAACGGTAGCATAATTTTTTATTTTTTGTCTACAAATTTGTGTTTTTAACAATATAATATGTTGTCCTTAAAAAAAACCAAAATTACCTATTTGGCTTAAAAGGATAGGTGATAAACATTTTCAAAATATTAAAAAATATAGTAAAACCTAGAAAAAACTGTTGAGCAAACTTATGGTCAATATATATAGTAAACAACAGACTGTTGTTAGCGCTGAAGATGACAACATCGTTGTCGTAACACGTGTACGCAAGAAGTGTATACTTTTTATGGTTTAGGGTTCAAGTAGATTTTATATCTTTACAATATAGTAAAATATGTACTTAAAAGTAAAGAAAAACAAAATTCTCAAAATATTCATATTTTTAGAGAAATAAGTGTCTTGCGTTAGTTGGATCACCCTGTATAGTATATTTTATTTATCCAATAAAATTACTCAAGTTTTAAAAAATAATAGTTATTTGTTTTATAATGTGTATTACACTATGTAAAATAATTATTTTTAATTAATTTTGTGTTCATTATTACTAATTTATAACAAACAACATTCTTTACCTCAACGAGTAAAATATTACTTTTTATTTTTACTTTACTTTTAATTACAAATACTAAATTTGACATAGAACGGATCTATTATTGCTTTGCTCTTTTAGAGTGAAGCTATAATAAATTACATTAGCATATTGATTAATATTGCTAAATTTAAGGAATTTGTTAAAAAATTTCCTGAATAAAAAGCCAGTATTTGAAAACAGACCCTTGTTCTAATAGGCGTTTTAATTTGTTTTGTTGGTCAATAAAGTGCTGTATGGTATAAATGTTGTCTAGTATTTATATATTACACATGCGTTTTGAGGTTTAAGCGGTTTTAGACAGTTTCCATAAAACTGACTTTTTGTCAGTATGCAGACGTCAGTGTCGTTAATAGAAATTTTTAAAAGCTGTAAAATTAGGCCTTTGTTCTAATCAAATCTAATTGATAATATTTATATTTATTTAAAAAAAACACTTGTTCTATGTATGAAATGTAACGTTTTTATAATATTCTATTAACATGCTTTAAAAAAAAAATAGAAGTGCTGTATCGAAAACAACAATATTGACTTTGAGAAAATTACAGTATTAAAAAGTGGTTATCGAATTTACATTTTACATTGCAAATTACTTGTTTAAATCACAGCTGTAATTGTACTTAATATAACACTAATTTAGGCCCTTTTTTTAGTAAAATAAAATTATGTTTTCTTATGACAGTATGTTCCGTGCCGGGCAGATATTCTAAAAAAACATCAAATGAAAACAAACAATTTTGTTTAAGAAAAAACGCATTTCGCACAGATAAAGAGCCCTAAGTGTCTCAATATTTTGAACACAACAAAAGGTGTACTGACAAGAGTTATCGATTTGCATATTATACTATGGCTGCAGGCCAGACACCACAAAACGCACCCCTCTTGCATTGTGCAGCATATAAACTCACCCCTTTAGGTCTGAGGGGTGGATTATTGATTTATGTGTATTGTGTCAGCCAGACGGCCGGGAAGTTCCACCCACCGGTCCCGGCAAACTGTGCAGAATCCACCGCCGTGTTGTACATTGCATAGGTAATAATTTTAGTGCAGTTGAAGTTTGCAACCCTCCGGAATAGTTTCGTTATCGTCGCAGCGCTATCGTCTGGAAAAAAATCCCCAAACAAAAAAAAACACCGGTTGGCAGTTTCCAGGTAAGTTTTAGACATAATACAACCTACTAAGTAGTATTAATGAGTTTTGACAAATTGTAGATCATAAATTGATCAATTAGCTTCGATGCGTACCTAAAACGTATTATTAGTTTTGCAATGATGTTCTTGTTATTTTTTTTTTTTTTTTGTCTATCCACGATGTCTTCCAAGCCGCTTGATCGATTTTTTAGTATAGACACCAGAAATCGTACCTGAAATGGACATTATTGGCCCAAAAATTTCACAAAAAGTCTACCTCTTCCACTGAAAATCGAGAAAAAGCCCAAACCATTTACTTGTTTTTCAACTTGATACAGCGGTGCTCTAAGAATTTTTTTTTAAACAGACAAATAAATTACAAACCAAAAACCATTTCCCATAGATAGAATAGAACTTTTTTTTTAGTTCAGGTTTTCAAGTGAATTTTTAGAGCTTAAGGACTTAAAATTACACCGAAGGTAAATCCAAGATGGAGCTAAAACGTATAAAATTTTCTCAATAATAACTTTAGTCAGACTTCTTTTTTTTTTAGGGAAATCTTTATCAGACATCAGTCTTTCCCTACGTCTTAAATCTAAGATTCTTTTTGACTATGTGTTATTCATTACTTTATATTTGTTGTAACAAAAAACAAAACATCTTTTAGACATTTAAATATTCTGTACTCCGAACCTGATCGTTGACCATGCAACATCGTGCTCCGTTATTTCATCTAGTTATTATCAAATATCTCGTTACATTTTTCACCGTTTTTCTCGTATTAAAAAGTAATCTTTTTGAAAAAGTGCCTGCTTTCCAACGAGTTGAACATCTCATTTCTACATCACCTCTGAGCCTCATCATTGTCTTTTTGGTAATTTATTTAATTAATATATTATTAATTGCTAATACTGCCATCGCGGCCGCGCTCGGACGGTCCGCTTAAACCAGTTATTGCTATCGCGTGATAAATTTACCTGTCGCCATGAACGAAAATAACAAAACAGTACCTCCGTTAACAATAAAAGCGTCACGTATACAGAGCGTGCCAAATCGACTTTCGCTTTCTTCAGATCTATCCGATCATACTGATGGACTTATTACTCCTAATAGCACTAAGCGACTCGGCTCTCCGGGCCTATCACCCAATAATAATAAACATCAAAAAAATCAAAATAAATCAACAAAAAACGACTCTGAATTTCAAACGGTTAAATACAAATCTAAACCGATATCAACTGAATCATTAGCAGAGAAAAATAAAAAACACATAACTGTTTTTGCTTCCTCTAATAGATTTGCTCCACTTGACATCGATAATGCTGAAGACGAAAATATCGAAATAGATCAGACGGGCAACGACCCAAATGAGGAAATTGAACAAACAAAAATCAAACCTCCTCCACCTATTTTCATCCGTGGAGTATTAGATTTTCACACACTTCGAACATGTTTAATCGATATAATCGGCGCCAATAACTTTGTTGTTAAAGCAACTACCAAGAACTTAAAAGTCCAAACTACCAACTCCGACTCATATAGATCAGTCATCAAATATCTAAAAGAAAATAAGGCTGAGTTTCATACCTACCAAGCTCAAGAAGACAAACCCTTCCGAATAGTCATTCGTAATCTCCACCCTTCCACTCCAACATCCGAAATAGGCTCAGCGCTTGAAGAAATTGGGGGATATACAGTCCGAAATGTCTCCAATGTTTTAAACAAAACTACAAAAAATAAACTCCCAATATTTTTCATTGATTTGGAACCCGCTGAAATCAACAAGGACGTCTTTCATATTAACTCCTTACTAAATACCAAAATAAGGATCGAAGAACCATATAAAAGACGCACTGTTATACAATGTACAAATTGTCAAGAATATGGTCATTCTAAATCATACTGCGCACACCCTCCAAGATGTGTTCGTTGTGCCGCTTACACCCAACTTCTTCCTGTACGAAAACCAAAGATCAGCCACCAGTTTGTGTTCTCTGTGGAGGAAATCATACCGCAAATTACCGTGGATGCCAAATCCACAAGGATCTTCAAAAACTACACTATGGTAAAAAAATTCCAAATAGAAAATATAATTCAATAAAAGATGTAAATTACAGTAATATTGTTAAAGGGGGGGACGACTCCGGTTATAGAACTCGTCAGGATCCTCCTGATATTAAAAATACCTCATCTTTTCCAAACCTAACCCACCAACATCTCCATTCCAACGCTCCAAATAATACACCCCCAAACACAACTATTAATCCACCTGAGTTTAATATAGCTACTCAACTTTCCTCCTTCATTTCTGAATTTAAATTAATAATTAACCCTCTCATATCACTACTCACAACAGTTATAAATAAACTTATGAAAGATGGTCAGTAATCAACCAAATATAAACGTACTAAAGATATTGCTTTGGAATGCTAACGGTTTAAAACAACATGATTCTGAACTGCTAAATTTACTATCAGAAAAACAAATCGATCTGGCACTTATTTCTGAAACCCACTGTAAACCAAACTCTAAACTATTTTTCCCTGGTTTTAAGGTTTATAGAGCTGATCACCCCGACAATACTGCTCATGCAGGATCTGCTATTATTATTTCCTCTAAAATCCAGCATCAGTTACTCCCTATTAACCAAACCCCTACTATACAGGCAACTAATATCCAAATAACATTAAATCACACACCGATCAAAATATCTTCAGTTTACCTTCCCCCTCATCCTGCTATCACTTCGACACAACTAAAAGATTTTTTAAAATCCCTAGGGCCAAACTTCTTGGCTGGGGGCGATTTTAATGCCAAACACTCCCAATGGGGTTGCATATCCGACAACTCAAGAGGAAAAATACTCCAAAAAATCATTAACAATAACAATTACACATCCATATCGCCAAATGGTCCTACCTACTGGCCCCAACACGAAAATAGACACCCTGATATATTAGATTTCTTTCTTTCAACACTACCTAGAACTATGAAATTCTCTATTAATAACCTAAATGACCTTAGCTCAGACCACACTCCTGTCCTTCTAAAATTAAATGAAAGTCCAGAACTTAATCTTATACATCCTTCTTTATCACAAGGCCCAGTAAATTGGAAAGAATTCTCTGAAATTATGCAAAACACTACTAATCTAAATATCTCCCTTAAATCAAAAATTGATATAGAAAACGCTGCCCAAGACCTCGTAACTTCTGTACAATCTGCCGTCCACAATGCGTCATATCCAACCAGTAAACATCAATCAAATAATCATACTTTGCCTTTATATATTAAAACGTTGATTTCCGATAAAAGACGTGCACGCTCCAGATGGCAGAAATATCGATATCCTTCCGACAAACAAATATTTAATCACTTAACGAACACTATTAAAAAATTAATAATAAAACACAAAACTGAGTACTTCGAAAGAAAATACCAGTCCTTAAACTCAAAAGATGGCTCACTTTGGAAAACTACCAAAAGCTTACTTAACATAAAACAACAACTTCCACCTATAACTGGCCCAAATGGATCCTTGGCCATCTCTGACAAAGAAAAAGCCAACCTTTTCGGAGAGCATTTTTCCAACATTTTCAAACCACATACTGACGTATTTCCCAACCACGAACACTTAGAAAAGGTTAATATTTTTGTCAATAGTCCTCTTCCAATGTCATTACCTGCAAAACATACCTCACCAAGTGAAATCAAATTTTTAATAAATAAATTAAAAGAAGGGAAATCACCAGGACATGACCTCATAACTAACAAAATCCTCAAAAATTTGCCAAAAAAAACAATTGTTCTAATAACTTATATTTTTAATTCCATGCTGCGAATTTCTTATTTTCCATTAATATGGAAAATATCCACAATAATTGTTATCCCCAAACCCAACAAATCAAAAAATGAGATTACTTCCTATAGACCTATCAGCTTACTCCCAACTCTCGCCAAATTGTTTGAGAAAATTATACTCATAAGGATAAGACCAATATTACATGCCCACAACATAATTCCTAATTCCCAATTTGGCTTTAGATCCAATCACTCGACTGTTCACCAAATTCACAGACTAACAGATCAAATTTGTTCTTCTTTTGAAAAAAAACAATATTGTCCAGGGGTATTTTTGGATGTGGCCCAGGCCTTTGACCGTGTATGGCATGAAGGCCTACTCTTCAAACTCAAATTGTTTCTACCTGCCCCATATTACTTAATAATTCGTTCTTACTTAGAAAATAGAAGTTATAGAGTCAGATATGGTAATTCCTTTTCACCATACCACCAAATTAAAGCAGGAGTGCCCCAGGGCAGTGACCTCTCCCCTGATCTATTTAATGTTTTTACGGCTGACATTCCAAAAACACCAAACACTATTATGGCTACTTATGCAGACGACACTGCAATACTCTCCCCAGGAAATGATCCAGAAGTTACTTCCAATTTCCTTCAAACTCACTTAAATCTAATTGATTCCTGGTCATCTAATTGGAGAATTAAAATTAATCCAGATAAATCTGTGTACGTTCCCTTCACACTAAAAAAATCTGTTCCACCCCCTCCCCAATTCCAAGGAATACTTATTCCAATATCCTCGGAAGTCAAATATCTTGGTGTCACACTCGACAAACGATTAACTTGGGGCTCCCACATTAAATCTAAAAGAAAAATTCTCAACAGCAGACTCCATTTACTACGTCCAATCCTCAAATCAAAATTACCTTTCCACAATAAAATTATTATATACAAATCCCTATTAAGGCCTATTTGGGCATATGCAATCCAAATTTGGGGATGTGCAAAACCATCCCAACTTCGTACCTTACAAGCTTTCCAATCTATCACTCTACGTATTATCTCTTCTGCCCCATGGTATGTATCAAACTGCACACTTCAAAATGACTTTAAAATAGAACCAATAAACCACTTAGCCATAAAACACTACAAAAAATTTCATTCCAAATTACACACTCATTCTAACCCTTTAATATCTCAACTTGCTTCTAATTCACTCC